TATATATATATATATATATATATAACATTTTGAATTCTGGACTGAGAGTATTAAAAAAAAGTTGTAAATTTAATATAAATGCATTAAATAACAAATAATAATAAACATTTTTCATATATGATTTAACTAAAAGTGTAATTTACTAAATAGTATCATGCTCCTGCATTGCTATAGCCTGAGAAGCTACTGTAGACCAACGTGCAAACACTGCACAAACAGCTACTTTTGTTCCAGCCTTTCTTCCACAAAGAAGTTTTTGTTTGATATATTCTTATGTCAGCTGATTCATGTTATAATAGAAAACTACATTATTGTGTGATTGGTGCACAAGACTTCAGGTACTAAGTAACAAGATTTGCTACCAAGTGATAAAAACTATTTTACAATGAAACCAAGTGAATGTTTTATAAAAACTGGAGAATGTACTATGCTTGAACAGTCATCATACCAGGTACTGGTATGGTAAGTCATTGACATCATTCTCTTAACAATTGATCCTGAAATAGAATTTACAAACTTTCAATACATGCTTGTCAAATAGTGGAGTGCTGTGATGGTGCAATATCTAACAAACTTTATAGTATACTGGATTAATAAATTCAAGAGCGAAGGTATTGTTTTTTGGTGTAATTCAAGACTCGCATGTTGGAATTTACATTATATGCATGAATTGAATTTATTTATTTTAATTTAATACTAACCAAACTTAAATAACCACAATTTTATCAATATAATTTACTGACATACAAGGTTTATATTCAAATACTATTAGCTGCACCTCAAGTTTGCCAATATCTGTATGTAGAGATATATGTATATGTAAACCACATATATAAATAACTAAATATATCAGAATAAGTTTCAAATGAAATGAATTAAAAATCTACATAAAAGATTGATAAAGCTAACGGTGAAAGTCAATGTCTTTAAAGAAAATACTGTTATGGGAAAATTCTAGTTATACTGAAATAAAAATTACATATGATAAAGATATATACAAAGCAACAGATAAACGTTGGAGATATCAATAAATCTGATGCTCTAAAGTCATTTTCATGAAAATAGTACTTTAGAACATGAATTGCATTTAATTTTCTATATATTACACAAATTACAAGGAAACGATAAGCTGAACAAATACGTATGGTTTTGGATTCTTCATTAAACAATGTTAAGTGCTGCTTGAATAAAGGTAAGCCAATGGATGAGGAAAGTCCACAGAGTTGGGGTTTCCACATGTTTCCCACCAAAATTTTTGGCTCCTTATTTTAAAGCCTTCACACATTTAACAGTGCAGTTACTAGAGTTACAATCACTACAGTATACAAATCAGTTATCATTTGTTGTTGTTTTCTTTGTGAAAAGTTACACAATGAGCTATCTTCACCCTGTCCAACACAGAGAATTAAACCCTGGAGTTTTGGTGTGTAAGTCTGTAGACTTACTGCTTTCTTAAAATATTTTATTGAATCAGTTATCAAAAAAAGCCATTAGCTTCAATTTAAAGTTTGATAATTTTTTAAAGCCCTCCAAATAACTACTCACATATCTACTAAAAAAAAGACAATTTTTACAAATCTCTTCTCAGGAAATAAAATTCTCCATAAGTTTGTTTGTAATTAAGCACAGAGCTACACGGTGGGCTATTGGTGCTATGCCCACCATAGTTATCAAAACCTGATTTTTAGCATTATAAGCCTTCAGACTCACTGCTGTGTCACTGATAGGCTTCTTTATAAGTACTTGAACATTAACATAATATTTAAGGAAAGTACTCCTACAACCATTAATTTTATACGATACAAAATTCATTAAAATAATAAATTATAAACATCTAAGTTAATAACACAATAAAATATATTCTATGCAATATAATTATAAAGATTTTTTTTCATTCTTCTTCTTAATCAGAAATAATATTTAATTATAACCACATTTCCATGAATCAAAAATTATTTTAATTTTTTTTCGAACAAAGTATTCACAAAAAACAAATTATCATGAGCAAATTATAGATGTGTTGAAAAATAAAAGTAAAGCTGTACATTTCTAACACTCACCACATCACCACTATCCAGTTCTTCTTCAGGAAGATGAATCTTTTCAGATACTTCTTGTACATATACTTTTGGAGGAAAGAAGAAGTCAATGATACATACAATCATCTGAAAGGAAAGCAAATATTTCAAAACTTAATATCTGAATATCCATAAATTTATGATTTAAAACTTTAGCTATTACATATGATATATCAGTAAAGTTCATCTGAACAAACCAATGGCTTTAGGTATTGATCTTACAGAAAAAAAAGTTCAAATTGTGTTTATGAAACATTTATACCCCCACTAATGTTATACTGAATGCTTAACACCCTAATTTGATTATGTTGTACTTGTCCACATGATTGGGGTGGATTTTCCATGTACCAGCGACCTTTTGATTCCTGACAATTAATTCAGAGAGAGATGTATAATTCCCTGATTCAACACCAAAAAAAAAATGCACTGAATATTTTTTTAATATTATAACACACAAGTTATCAACTGTGATGACATTTATATCCATCAACATCTTTTTTTTCAGTCTGAGTTTAACTGAATTTTGTTTGTGGATTTATTACAGCTAATAAAAAGTTAATTATATTACATTAAAATGTTTCATAATAAGACAACCATAGTGCCCTCCAAGAACTTAAGAGTTTTTCTGAAAAAATAAAACAATTACACATATTTAATATTTTATATGATGTTCTAATCAATGATGTCTTTCAACTGATGGCATACCTATTGGCCACAAAACCAAAGTCTTATAAAAGATATGAAGTTTATGCTTGATCTTTCAAAGTACATAATATTTTTTCCCCTGTTTCTACTAAAAATGGTTTTCTATATTTGTAAGATAAAATTTATTCTATTTCACTATCTAGTTTATTTTTAATTTATTTATTCAGAAGAATTAAAGGAGAACTGTACAAAGCAATAAAAAAAAAGTGAATCAGATTATATTACAATATCTGTATCCTTATTCGAGACCATTAAATGTTTATAAATGTATTTAAGATTTAAAATTACTTTTAACTAGGCCAAATTTTATTTAATTAGTTATTAATTGAAAGTGTTATGCTTGAAAATGATATTATAAAACCAATATTAGGCCTTTTGTTATTTTGAAACACGATTGTGGTAATTATTAGAGAAGTGCTAATAAATGTTCATTTTATCAGCTTACTCACATTTTCATTGTTTTTCTTAATACTAGGAGGTAGTGACTCTTACATAATCAAATATGTATGTTTCAATAACATAACATAATGTACAAACAACAATGGACCATTTGGTCTTTAAAGGCTGTTCTTGAGAAAAGTGAAAATTTAAGCCAATACTTTACTTTTCAGGAAAAGTTGCTAGCCTCCATTATTGCCAAAATAAATTAAATAGATAAATAAAATAAAGAGGGGCAAGATTTCCCTTTGGTGAATATATATTAGCTTTATTTCATGAAATATTTCACTAAATGATTTTGTAAAGTTTCTTTTATCAGACTTTCTAGAATATTTCTCACCATAAAAGTAAGACTAAATGAATATATAATTTTCTGGACAAAATTTATCACATCCTTTTAAATTAGGAGTAACATAAAAAATTCTCCAATCTTCAGGTATCCACTACAGAAAGTGAACTTAATTTTTCATGGATTAATAAATTTTATGGCTTAGGAATTAGCTTCAAATTCCATCTATTGACTGGTATTAATGACATTTAACACAACATAGCAATATCAATACCATATCTGGTGGAGAAACTGAAATTCACACTTTTACACAAAGATCATAAAATATTTCAAACTCTACAAAGCAGCTTACCAAACCCAGTATAGCACCTAAGATAATGGTTCCTAGTGCAAATATTATATAAGATCCCCAGTAAGGAATTCCATACTCTTCAACTATTTTGTTGTGTGCACTCTGTGGAAGAAAATGAAATAAATGTAACATCCATTACTTAGGAAAATTAAATACCACAGAAACAGACAATAATAGCTAGAGACAGTACTTTCTACTTACAAAAGAGAAAATATTTTTGAAGTCACATAAGCCTTTAATAGAACAACAAACAACTGACTTAAATATTTTACTCATGTGAACAAGTACACTTTAAAATGTATTGAATTAGCATTGTTATTTCATGAACACAGATACAATATATATATATATCAACACATTAAATATTTTAGATAGATATATCTAACACATACTTAAGAAAATTACAAATACATTGCCTAACTAGCTTTCGATACCTTCAACTTATTAATCTTAGCAAGCATTTAACTCTTTTACTACAACCTTCCCTTTGGATGGGTCAAAATGCAAGTCATGTCCTTTTACAGACTTATATTCAAAAACTTTAATATCAATGTATGTCCATGAACTTGGCATGAATACATAGTATGTAATTCAGGTTTTATATCATCACATTTTAAATCTCGTAATTTCAAAAACAAATATTTAATTTCCACCAATTAGAAATACAAACTATACATAACTATAAGCAAGAATATAAAATTTCAACCTCTTGCCTTCTTAATTTGCTGAGACATCAATAAATTTTTCAAACCCAACAGAGAAGCCCCCCTCCTCCCTGACTTTTGATATTGTTTTCTAATCAACTTTACATGGATGATGGACATATAACTAATAAAAAGAGCAGATACTCTTCTGTGTAACTCTTACAAATCTGTGTTTAGTTTGGGTATTGTATGCCATTAGTTAAGGAGAATTACCTGGAGTGTGTTGATGAGATTCACTGCTTTGAATAATAATAGAATTTTTTTAACCTATTTATAGCTTACTAAAAAATCAAGATAAACTGTAGTAATTTTGGGACACTCTATTCGAGTGACCGATATATTTTTAATGTTATAAATTGAGTATTTGAAAGCTACAGGAATTTTCTTTGGACACTTAATCTTGTGAGACGTAGGGAAGATTTTTACTCGAATAAAAATGCCTTAAGTATGCAGTTGGTCTGAAAATTGACAATCCAGATGATTTTTCATACAGACAAATCTTCACAGTGAGAAATTTAATCAATAATATATATAATCCATATACTTACATTCCAAATTTCAATAACTACTTCTTACAATAAACATGCATTTTCTTTAGATACTTGATTCAGTAATCAGTACACCACTCCACAAGAATTAAGCAGGGGTCAATCACAATAGAAAAATAAATTGATAGTTACTGACCACAAAGCACCTGCACTAACTAGTGGGTATCAGTTTACAACAATTTTACTGATAATAACTTTAAACTTGCATTGGGTACTGATTTATGAAATTTTTTTTAGAACAACCTTCACATTAGGGGTGTACTTATGAACTACAACAGATATTGAGAGGTCACCAGAGTGATTTATGCTACAGTCATATCAAGTCACAGTGCACCAAAATGAAGATGCGTAGAAATATCGGCATCATTAAAACACGACATTTGTTTATACAAGAAAGTAAATCCAAGAGCAAGCCTTGATACTATCAGTAGGCATTTCAACATAGAAAGAAATGTTCAGATGGGCAGGTCATGCTACCTAAAACATTTTTTAATCATTATAATTTTTTAAGTTGTATATATAATTTATTGCTAACTAGCAGTTTTCTATATAAAATATTAATATAAATAATGATTTACTTTATATATATATTTTTGCTGTTTTATGTATGACAGAGCACTAATGGTAGGCTACAAAAGTAACTATTTATAGAGATTAACACCCCCTTTAACTAATTAATTAAACTTAAACAATAAATCCTTGTAAGCTGCTACCAATACAGTTTCCATTTTATTTTGTTTACAAGCAAATGGATTGTGTTTCAAACTTTTTGGACAATATTTCTAAGCTATGTGATCAAGATGAGAAGTAGTTGTATCTTTTGTAAAACAGAAGTTTTAAAGTGCAGAGAGCCACTTTAACGCTGGTAAGTTAGACAATGGCCTACTTTGAGTGAGGTCAAATACAGCAATATATCTTCCATCAATTCATCATAGTATTTCCTGTTACCACTTTCTCTGTGACAGAATACTGTTGTTGAGAGCAAAAACCTAAATTCCTACCATGATATACATATGTATACACACACACACACACACACACATAAATTAGTAAATTCCCTTTCAATTGAATAATAATCTCATTAGGAAGCCAGAAAACATTCTTTTTCAATATTGTTTTTATTACTTTTTTGTTTAAAAAACTTTTACATAACTCATTTACTTGTTTTTCAAAACCTAGGACTGATAACAGTATTGAAATGACTATATCTAACTGCAAATAATAAGTTTTAAAAAAACACCTAAAATTTACTTAAATACCTAACTACAAAAAGAAGCTTTATACTCACTCTTAGTGCCATGGAAAGCTTGAAAAAGTAGGAGATAGTAGACATTCTAGGCAGAGACAAGAAAAAATTTCTGAGTCATGCAATTATAGAACTTACATAAGTATGTATCAAACTTATATTTTAAGTCCAATTATAAAAAAAGCAGCTACGCAATTTAGAAAAAATAAAGTCAAAATATTTCTTGCCATAGATTGCATGTATTGTATAGTTAGAAGCCCTACAAAACTGATTATCTGTAACAACAGAAATAGGTGAAACATCTCAACCAACATCAGGAAACAAATGAAAAACAATTACCAGCAGAACTCTACTGGAGCAATGAGTACAAATTGATATGAAATCAGCTCAAACACATGTTAAGAAAGTGAACAAATCGAGTCAAAAACTGGCCGAAATCATAAACATTTTTTAAAATACCAGTGCTTGGGGCTATCACAGAACTTTTAAGTAGAATTGTTAATTACTTACATAATAGATTGGGGTGATTGCCACCATGACACAGGATCAATGCTAGACCATTTCTTTTCTTCAATAAAGTTTATAAATGAAACTTTGTCACGAGATCCCCTGTATTGTCGAAACTGTCCATCTATCACACTAAAAATATGGACAATAAACTTCAGATTTAATTCCTATACATCTAACTTAATTTATTTTATATGTAATTCAATTAAGTATATTTGGTACACAATATATAATAATATAATTTTGTATTTATCCTATCGTACCAGTCTGATTTATGGAATATGTCTAGACTGCATTATAACATGTAAAGTACCTATGAAAATGTTTCTTTTTATTACTCTTACATTCAACTACGTAATATTAAAGTAGTTTAGTGCACTATTAATCACACTGCTTTCATTACAAATATTACAACAGACTAAACCATTATATATTTATTCAAACCTACATATAAAATATAAACAAGAAGACTTACTGATAGATTGTTGGTAACGCTGTCACCATAAACCTTCCACTCATTCCTGCAAAAGCATGTTTAATAGTACCAATGTTAAACCCAAACTTATATAAATGAGTACATGCTTATTATTAAAAAAAAAAACCATTCTAAAATGTACAGTTAGAGTTTACAAGTCAATTTGAAAACCTGATTGCACTTCTTTCTACCGGATTAACCAACAGGTTATTGATTTATTTGGGTAATGTGATGACATCAGGTTCATAGACCTTCAGTCACAAGTTAAACTACTTCATTTTTTAAATGTTCAGTACCAAGCTAATCTATTATGATACATTATTGTTATGTCTATCATTTCACTTTTCTTTGTTTGTTTGGAATTAAGCACAAAGCTACTAAATGGGCTATCTGTGCTCTGCCCACCACGGGTATCGAAACCCGGTTTCTAGCGTTGTAAGTCCGCAGACATACCACTGTGCCACTGGAGGGCCTTTTCTTTGTTAATTACTTTTCAATTTCAAATTTCATTCTAACCTTTTCCAGTCACGAGCTGGTCTATTTCTTATCTTATATAATAAATTTTCAAACTAAGTTAGACTCATGGGAGCATTCATGCATGTATGCTACAGACTATTCTTTCCTCTTTTTTTTTTTAAACCGCTACTGACAAGGACAGAGCAATCAATATTGGACAAATACTTCATCTGTTGTCACCTGGTTCTTATATAAGTAGTAATTCAATTACATATTAAGTGGTTAACATTAATATTAAAAACTATCGACAAAAAATTAATATAAATACATTACTTAGCAAATGTTTCTTATTAATTGCCAAAAGAGTTGTTTACTCAACCAAAGGGAATCAGCAGAAGCAGTTTTAACAAAGCACTTCACATCTTCCCATCTGAAAAAGTATTCTCAAACATCTCACAAATGTATTGCTTGAACAAGAGTTTGTAAACAAATTTTTCCTTTCAGGTTGACTATTGTTTCTTTCTAGTTATGCTATGTCCAGCAATAAATTAAAATTATGTTATATTTCTACCTAATTACTGCTTCTGGAGAAAATATATTAAGCAGATTGTCCAAGAAGAGAAGTCACCATAAGAACAAAACGAAACAAACCAGTGAATGATCCACTATGGAATAAGAAGATAAATTACATCATAAAGTAGAATAAACTGAAGATTTTGTATATCTTTGATTAATTTTGTATCTATGATTTCTTCATTTTTGAGCTCCTCCCACAATTTTTGACAAAATTACTCAAACTTTTTTTCTTAGGCTTTTTGCCTCCCTATATATAAAACAACAAATTAAAAGTAATGAGGGGGCTACAAATACGAGGTAAATGATTTTTTTGAGGTTATAAGGTTTGAATGAGCAGATTTACTTGAGAATTTGTATTAACAGAAGTCATTGAAGAAAAAATTATCTAAATTCAGATTTTAGAAATTTTCTAATTTAACCCCTTACTTAGGGGTCAAGAGGTTTGTGAATTCTTAGGACTGTATACATGGATTTACATGAAAATTAGCATGAACAAATAAGAGATTGTTGTATCCACATTCAGGTTTTTGGAATTTCCACAATAAGGATTCATGGTAGATATGTGGAACCTTAGGAATATTGGCTGTAAGGATTTACTTGAAAGTTGACAAAACAAGTAAATGGTCATTTAAAACATTTTTATAGTTTTCTTGTGAATTTTCATAAGTTATTCATTAATAATGTACATTATGACTAATTTTGTACAACCTTTTAAATGGAATATTTTCTGTTTTATTTCATTTTACAGAACTTCTCACCTTCCAAAAGCTGGTCTTTAAAAAGCCAACTTGGTTACACCCAAGAAGGGTTAAGTGTTAAAACAGTATTATATACTCAACAAAAATAACTCATTTCCTCAAAAATTCAAATGTAAGACAAGAACTTGACACACATGCACAAATATCAATCACTTCTTATTAAATAATCATTCAGAGTTTAAAATACCTGGGTTTTGGGTAACATCTACACTTCCAACCTTTATTCCCAAATCATCACTCCAGTCTGAGAACTCTTTCCAAACAGGTTCTAAAGCCTTACATGCAGGACACCATGGTGCAAAGCTGTGAAAGAAAAATTAATGAGAAAAAAACGTTTTACAAACAAAAGGAATCATGGCCATACATGTGAGAAAATAACTGGAAGGATACATTAACTTCTTGTATATGTATTAAGCTTTTGAATTGATCATTGAAAATTGAAGATTGTAAAAACTAAATAACCAATTTTAGAACTCACTCTTAGTAAATTTGACAATTCCAAAAACATATTGTTACCTACTTAAACAATTTTAACTATGAAAAGAAGTCTTAACTATCATTCAAAAGTAGGTGATGTTCCTTTCTCACATTCTTACTTACAATATGATTCTATTTTAGCAACTGATAGTGGGTGATGAAAGTTTTTTTTATTTCTGACCACCATTAGACCAAACACCCAAAAAGTAATATAAATAGAAAAAAAGGAGGCTGAAAATTATGAATTAGCTTTCTCTACAGCATGAAAAACTAAAGATAACTTGCTTCAGGTGTTTAGAATTATCAGAAATTTAAACAGCCTTCCTCCAAGTAGTAGAATACAAGCATAGAAAGTGTAAACTATTAATTGTAGGTAACTGGATAATATGTAGTGCAACATGTGCATCCCATCATTAAGGTTTTCTTTCAGAAAGAGAAACCTTGTAAATTCAAGTGCCCTAAAAATTTCTTTGAAATTATCTATATAATTCGTTACATAAATAAGTTTGTTATTTTTACCTGGGCACTTTTGTTTTCCAAAACCTATCAGTACTGTTTTGTATCAGACATGTAATTTCTGTGGTGTAGATACATTAGAATAGAGAACACTCTTTAAAGTGTATAACCAAGTTTAAAGACAAATAAAGAAAACTGACAAATAAATGATTAAATTCCAAATAAATAAAGCTTGGCTGTGGTGTACATAATCTAAATTTTTGCAAAGTATATAACCTTAAGCAAATAGACCCAAAGGCCTTATGTTTATCATCTTTGTACTTTCCTTTACTACCAAGTCTAACATCCAACTTGAAACAAACTAGATGTGACTTTCACAAACCCAACAAAGAAACCAGCCCAATCTGAATACAACCCCTTACAATTATAAAATTATCCAACAAAAACTAAAAAGGAATTAAAAACAATAAAATTGATACTGCGGGACCTTTTAGCCCAAGGGATGTCTTGACTTCCAACTGCCCTCAACAAACAGAAAATTAAACATTAAATCCAGCAATGATTTCCAAATATTCATCAGCCTTTTTATAAAGTTGCATCTTGCACAATCATAGATAGAAATTTGTTTCACAGGTTTATAACCTCACTGGTAAAGTAAACCTGTCTAAACTAGAAATGTGTCTGATCTTTCCAGTTTATGGCCTCTTGTCCTACTGCACACAGAATTGAACACAAAAAATTATGATTCACCAATCTTATCAATTCCCCTAACAGTTTTGACTATTTCAATTAAATCATCCCTTTTCCATCTCTTTCCAAAAGAGAACAAGTTATCTTCACTTATCTTCATATTATAAGCAATACATAATCAGGACCATCACATAGTAGTAGCCATCCTCTGAACTATCCCCAACAATTCAACATCCTTCCTAAAATACGAGATGCTAAAACTGAATAAACAATCCAAATAAGGCTTAAATCAACACACAATCTAATAAACATTCCACAAATTAACAATTCTAACAGAGAAAATATTTTTCCAAATAACCAGCCTGGATTAGGGCTTATTTCCTCTAATATTCAAGATTTCATCTTAAATCTTATTGTTCCATCACCCTAGTAAACCCATAAACAGTTAATCCAAACCCCTAATGATTTTAACTATTAGCATCAGGTTATCTGTAGTACTTCTAGGCTCCAGATAAAACAAGTTCTAGCCTTTGAGTTTCTTCATAACTTAAATTTTTCAAACAAGGAACAATTTTAGTAGTCCTTTTCTGAACTTTTTTAAGCAAATGAGTATCTTTTTCTATAATAAGGGGACAAAGTTGAACACAATACTACAACATCCAACTGAGGCTTTGTGCAATGTAATAATAACTTTACAATTTCTGAACTCAAAATTCCTGTAAATAGATTCCAGTCCACTATTTACTCATTTTTGCTACTTCCAAGTATTCAGCCAAAGGCTTGAGGCTTTTATCAATCACCATACCAAAATTCTGCTCTTTCTTCACAATAAAAATAAAGGCATTTACAAATTTCCATACCTTACATGCCTCATTTCATGTTTATCAATACTGAAACTCATTTTTCACATATTAGTTCACTAAGCAAAATTCTCCAACTCCTTCTGTATAATAGAAACATATTCCAAAAAAAACAGCCTTGCCCACTAGTAAATTTAGAAATTTTCTTGATTTTACAGTAGTCCATACGATTTACAAAGATAACAAGCAGTAAAGGTCACAAAATAATTAGAACCCTCTGATACACAAAATGGCAATAGTCACATTCTCCCTAAGAGAATGATGGTCATTTATCTTTATCCTCTGTTTTCTACATTCAGGTCAATTTTTAAACCATATTTTGAGTTTCCTCAATTCCCCAAGATCTAAGTTACTAATTAACTTACTGTAACTTGTAAGAAACTTTGGGAAGCCTAGATACACAACATCAGCAGGGATATACTCACCAAACAAGAAATTCCCTATCATAAAACCCAACTCTGAAGTTCAAGATGCTTTTCCAATTTCCAAGTAATCCATAAATGATTAAGTTCTATTATATTTATATACCCAGCACACTGGAAAATAAACAGTTCAAGATAAAAGGGAATACATAGGCCTAACTTAATTTAAGCCTAAGCAAAAGTTTGTTTGTATACTCTTAACATTTAATTGAAGTAAATTAAAATTTTTTAAGTTTAACTTCAAAATTAAATTTAAATTAATCATACAATTCAACCATCCACTCTCCCGAAAGCATTTCTTGCCAGTTATCTTCATCCAGTGACAAGAGTTGTCCCTTGCCTAAGATTGTAGGATATAAATTTATGAAACATGTCAATAAAAATAAACTTTTTAAAAGAGATTTGCTCGAGCAAAGAGACGGTAAACCATTTACAACTTTCTTGATGTTACATATTCCCCAAGTAGCCATGTTGCTTTTTTATGTTATGTAGGAGCGCCACATCAGTATGATTAATAAGAGAATTCATAATAACACTCTTTTAAATATATAATAACACATAGCGATTATTTTAACAAAATACATTTGCGTATAGCATATATTATTTGAGTTTTAGTTTGCTTTATTATATTAATGTAAAGTAAAATAAGAGTTTTATGTCATTTTTCCATATACTTTAAAAATAATAAATAGAAAAATCGTAACCAGCGCACTGCAACAAGATAATTAAACATTGTTAATTTAAAAAGGGGAATAAAGTACCGAAAAAGTACAGTTCAAGCAAAATGTACTGTAGACATGGAATCAAAATACGGATTTGTAGCTTGAGAAAATAATGTAGAGACTGTTTCCAGCTTAGTTTGTTTACTTTTGTTAGAGTCCCCAGTTATATGCTTGAAAATATAATCTTTGCATTTTTATTGAACTGTACTTTATTCCCCTTTTAAATTAACAATTTTTAATTATCTTGTTTTTTAGAGTTTTTATATGTCCGTTTAGGGATAATAATTTTTAAGCTACATATGTGCACATGTATTCAGTTGAATGTTACATGTTTTTCAACAATTTTCTGCTGCATTGACTTTTTCCAACCCAGCCATTATTTACTGAGCCAGTTGGTTTTGTGCCTGAGGTTTCATGTAAACACGCGTTTAACAAGCGTCGAGTACAGAGGAAGCCGTTCACAACACCATCGCATATATTATGTATTTGTAGCCACGTAAATCAACTTTTTGAATAGGTTATGAATATTCTCAATGTTTCATATAATATTTCTGTCTTGGTTGTGGTTCAAAATACCCAGCCGATTTTGCTGTAGACTTGTGAAACAAAAATATGAATAATAATAATAAAATAATACTAAAATACGCACTCACAATTACAGCGAAGTACGAAAATCAGTAGAATAAATCACCATTCACAAGAGTAAAAAAATCTACTATGTTAATCGTCTACTGTAAGAAAACTCACTGAAATAGTCATAGAAAACCACGTAGAGACAAAATACAACAGCGAACTCAAGAAATGATGAATTCTCAATGTGTCAGTTTCCAATTAATGCACATTAGTAAAACACCAGATTTTGTTTTAACTGGGGAAAGTGAGGCACTTAAAAAAATTCTTCAGGGCGAAAAAAACGAAGGCGCTTGAATTGATTTTAAAACTACCCTATGACATAATCAATACTGCATTCATTACTATTATCCAGGTTTTAGTAAAATATTCGTAGCCGTTTCTTTCTGAAGTGGCTTATAAAACTATAATCAACAGTAATATGGCTGGAGACACTGCTATAAACATACAGTCTTATGTTGGTAGCGCAGAAGAACGTAGAAAATTTTAGGGGGTGGAAATCTCGACTTTCAAGAATCAACTTAAAAATAGCCCTACAGCCTTCGTAGGAGTTTGTTTACTAGATGTGCATAGATTTTGGCGCAGTATACGTAGCCGTTTTTGCTGTAGGCTTTGGTGCTTGAATAGCTTCGAAGAGAAACTTAGCCAGTAGCGATGAAAAACTGATAAAATCTCTCCTTCTCTTTAAAGAATCAATATTAAAATAGTGCTATGAGCTGCACAGGAGTTTTTTGTTGGTGAATGTTTGCCCAGGTTTTAATAAAACCTTCATAGCCGTATTCTTTAGGCTTGTAGAACAAGAATAATATGAATAATCACTTGAAGAACAAATGGATGAATTTTGAATTTTGTTTAACAAGCGGAAAATCAACTTTTTTTTGCTATTATCGATATTTTAACAGCTATAGCCACTGAGATGAAAGGTCTTGAGTGTTGTTTCAAGAACAAGTCTGGTTTTTAAGATGGTTTTGCCAGTATGTTCTAGTATTATTTTTGTGAAATTTCTGAGCGATCTCTATTATGAACCACTATCGTGGTTCGCAAAACCAAGATTTAAATAAATGTTAAAGAAAGATACGACAATTTCTGTTCATCCCAGATCTACTATTTACACTCCTGCCACACATTATTATAAGTACATGTTCATTTGTTAAAAGTAGCGTTGTGTTATAATCAGACATGTTCCCCAGTGGGTCAGCGGTAAGTTTACAGACATACAACACTAAAATACAGGATTCAATTCTCCTCGGTGGACAAAGAGTAGATAGCCCATTGTGTAGCTTGACACTAAGACAAAATAATTTTTGTAATTTGATGTGTCGGTCACCCGAATGACTGGAAAGCGTAACTTCTCAAGTTTCGATGTACAGTTGGAAAATTATTAGATGAGTAAACGTTACTGCGATGTCCAAATACAGAAATGTTTCATGTATTTTCAGATATTCCTCCTCTATCTCTACTATAATTTTTTCAGAAATGTAGTTATGCAATAGGATTTTAAAATAAAACTTAAATAGTTTCATTGATTGAATCTTTAAAATACATTGTATTATAATATAGTGAATTTATTGTTTTATTATTTTATAATGATTTGTTGCAGATTTGGCTAATATATTTGATCGTGTTGTTTGTTATTATTATTTTAATCTAGATGTTATCATATTGTTAAAAAAATTAGTATGACTCTACTATTAGTAAGTTTTTATTTTTATGTATCTTTAATGACCGATAAACAACCACTTGTAAAATATTCTCATAAAGGGACAGGCGTGTTTGGATAGTAGTATTTCCATCAGCAAGGAAGGGATGACAAGTGCAGTAAGACTTATAAGAATAGTATACCGTTTATTACAATATGTTTAAAAGAACACAGAATCGAAACTAGAAATAATACTTTGTTGTTTGCAACTAATTTTGATATTTTACTAATATTTTCCCTAGTTGCCAACATGATCTGTTTCCAGACAATTTTACTTCTACTTCAAATAATTTTTATAGCATTGAGTTTTCAAAGTTACACAACTTTATTGTAGAATAACTCTTCATTTTCAATGTCTTCTTGTGACTTCGCAGCAAAGAAACTACTCCATTAATTTCAATAATGGCGCAACAAATACATAAAGTGTTGAAGATTACTTCATAATTATTTCTTATTTCTATACTTTTTTGACTCAATTTACAACAATAAGACAAAAACTGATCTTATGGTAGAGTTTGGTGACCCATTATCAATCGTTTTCTGGTTAGCGTTCTATACGATTACCTAACTCTAATAACGTGTAGTTAGAGGACTGAAGTTGGCTGAGTGGAAAATTGAAGGGGATGAACTCTACATTTTGTGGGGACACATATTGTAATGTTTAGGAAATTTTAAAATAATTAGAATTTTTCGTTAGGTGCGGCGGCTACAAGGGAGGTTAATGCGCATTTTGGGGTAACTTCAACCACAGCAAGACCCTCCTCTCACCGTCGCTGCTGAATCTTATGAGACATCCACAACCCCAAACTGTGAGGTGCGTTCCTAAGGTAACAGACTGTGAAATAGCAACCGTACAATCCGAGGACGCTAACCACTAGGCCACGCCTGGCCCACACGTGTGAAATGTTGGTACTAGTATATGCATTTGATAAAAGTGTGGGTAGTTTGGTAGAATGAGCATGTCAAGGAACACTGTGATGAGTACAGTAAGTAACAGTATGATAAGTAGCATGAATGTGATAAGTTTAATGAAGTAACACAAGTGCTACAAGTGCCATGGACAACTTGAGTGTGATAAACCTGGTGTGATTAATGTGGTAAGGAACATGAGTGTGATACGTTTGACAGGTAACAGGAGTTTTATGAGATCAGTTTAGAGTGAATGTGGTGTATCCCTGGTTGAGTGCAATATGTGATTTAGGTATTAGGAGTTTGATAAGATCAGTGGGGTAATATAAGTGCGATATGTACTGTAGGTAACATGAATGTGATAAGAATGATGAGTGACGTAAGTGTGGTCAATAAAATGAGCGTGATAAGAATGATGAGTAACGTAAGTATGGTCAATAAAATGAGCGTGATAAGAATGATGGGTAACGTGAGTGTAGTCAGTGACATGAGTGTGATAAAATTATCAGCACGTGAGTGTGGTCAGCAACAGGAGTGTGATAAGAATGATGAGCAATGTGAGTGAGGTCATTAACATGAATGTCATAAGAATGGTGAATAACGTGAGTGTGGTCAGCAACATGAGTGGGATACGAATGATGAGCAATGTAAATGTGATAACTAGCATGAGTGTAATAAGTTTGGTAAATAACACGAGTGAGATAAATGTGGTAGGCAACATAAGTTTATAAGAATGGTAGGGGTATCTAGTGTGATAACATGAGTGTATTAAGAGTGGTGGGTAACGTGGGTGTGATAATTAGTGGAATAAAATGAGTGTATTAAGAGTGGTGGGTAACGTGAGTGTGATAAATGTGCTAAGCAATATTAGCGTGAAGTTTGAAGGGCAACATTAGTTTGATAAGTTTGGTAAGGAACATGAGCGTGATAAGTTTGGTCAGTAACATAACTTTAGTAAGTGTGATAGGCAGTATGAATGCAAGAATTGTGCTAAGCAACGTAAGTGCTACAAGAGTAGTGGGGTAACTAGTGTGATAAATATGGTGGTATAACATGAGTGTGTTAAAAATGGTGGGTCGCGTTAGTGTGATAAATGTAGTAGATATATCATTAGTGTAATAAGACTGAATTGGTGAGGTGATAAGTGTGGTGGTGTTACATGAGTGTATTAAATGTGGTAAGTAACACGAGTGTGATAAGTCTGGTTAGGTAACACTTGTATGATAAGTTTGATGAGGTAACATGGGTGTGTTAAATGTGGTAAATATCATGAATGGGATAAAAGTGGTGATTAATACGACTATGTTAAGTGCAGTTTACAAGAGTGTGATAAGAGCGATCAGTAACATGAGTATGTTATGTGATGCAGTTTACACCAGCATGATAAGAGTGGTGAGTAATGAGAATGTGATGAGAGTCGTGAGAAACGTGAATGTGATAAGAGTGGTGGGTAACGTGAATGTGATGAGAGCGGTAGGTAACGTGAATGTGATAAGAGTGGTGGGTAACGTGAATGTGATGAGAGTGGT